TAGTTGTTCATAGTATTCTCTTACAATCCCTTGTATTTCTGTTGGGTCAGTTGTTATTTCACCTCTTTCCTCTCTGATTTTGTTTATTTGGGTCCTCTCTCTTTGTTTCTTCATGAGTCTGGCTAAAGGTTCACCAATCTTGTTTATCTTTTCAAAGAACCAGCTCTTGGTTTTATTGATCTTTTGTATTTTTTTTTAGTCTCTGTCATTTATTGCTGCTCTAATCTTTATTATTTCTTTCCTTCTACTTACTCTGGGCTTTTCCTATTGTTCCCTTTCTAGGTTTTTGAGTTGTAGGGTTAAAGACTCTATTAGAAGTTTTTCTTGTTTTTTGAGGTAGGCTTGTAGTGCCACAAATTTCCCTCTCAGAATTGCTTTCATTGTGTCCCATAGATTTGGAATTGTTGTGTGTTCATTTTCATTTGTTTCCAGGAAGTTTTTTATTTTTTTCTTGATCTCTTTGGTAACCTATTCATTGTTTAAAAACATGCTTTTCAGTCTCCATGTGTTTAAATGTCTTTTAGTGTTTTTATTATAGTTGGTTTCTAGTTTCATGCCATTGTGATCGGAGAAGATGCTTGATATGATTTCAATCTTCTTGAGCTTCTAGAGACTTCTTTTGTGTCCTAACATGAGGTCTGTCTTTGAGAATGACTCATGTGCACTTGAGAAGAATGTATATTCTGANTGTCTTTGAGAATGACCCATGTGCACTTGAGAAGAATGTATATTCTGAAGCTTTGGGGTAGTATGTTCTGTAAATGTCAATTAAATCCATCTGATCTAGTGTGTCATTTAGGGTCGCTGTTTCCTTGTTGATTTTTTGTCTGGAAGACCTATCCAGTGAAGTCAATGTGGTGTTAAAGTCCCCGAGTATGACTGTATTGCTGTCTATCTCTCCCTTAAAGTCCTCTAGAAGATTTTTATAAATTTAGGTGCTCCTATATTGGGTGCATATATGTTTATCAGGGTTATATCCTCTTGATGGATTGATCCCTTTTGTATTATGTAATGACCTTTCTTATCTCTCATTATGGTCTTCATTTTGAAGTCTATTTTGTCTGATATGAGAATTGCTACCCCAGCTTTTTTTTTTCATTTCCATTTGCATCGAAAACTTTTTTCCATCTCTTCACTCTCATCCTGTCTGAGTCTTTTGTTCTGAGGTAGGTCTCTTGTAGGCAGCATATAGTTGGGTCATGTTTTCTTATCCATTCAGCCACCCTATATCTCTTTATTGGGGCATTTAATCCATTTACATTTAAGGTTATTATTGAAAGGTACTTATCTACTGACATTTTGTTTCTTTATAGCTATTTCTCATTCTCTTTATTTCTATGCCTAATTATAGCAGTCCCTTTAACATTTCCTGTAATGCTGGTTTTGTAGTGATAAAGTCTTTTAACCTTTTTTTGTTTCAGAAGCTCCTTATTTCACCATCCAGCTTGACTGATAATCTTGCTGGATAGAGTAGTCTTGGTTTCAGATCCTTCTTTTGCATTACCTTGAAAACTTTATGCCATTCCCTTCTGGCCTGTAGAGTTTCCGACGAAAACTCAGCTGACAGCCTTATGGGAGCTCCTTTGTAGGTAACAGTTTGCTTTTCTCTTGCTGCCTTTAAGATTCTCTCTTTGTCTTGGATTTTTGACATTTTAATTATGATATGTCTGGGCTTTGGCCTCTTTGGATTCTTCTTGCTTGGGACTCTCTGTGCCTCCAGAACCTGTATGCCTTTTTCCTTGACCAGGTTAGGGAAGTTTTCTGCCATTATTTCATCAAATAGGTTCTCTAACCATTGCTTACTTTCAACCTCCTCCGGAATTCCTATAATATGAATATTGTTACGTTTTATGCTGTCCCACAGCTCCCTTAGACTGTCCTCCTGTTTTTTAATTGTTTTTTGTTTTGGGATCTCTGATTCAGTGATTTTTTTTCTACCCTGTCTTCTAATTCACTGATCCGATCCTCAGCTTCTTCTAATCTGATGTTTATTTCTTCTAATGTATTCTTTATTTCTGCTATGTCATTCTTCATTTCTGACTGGTCATTTTTCATAGTTTCCAAATCTTTTTTCATGCTGTTGAGCATCCTTACAATCAGTATTCTAAACTCTATATCTGAGAGGTTGCTTATCTCTGTTTCATTTGGCTCTTTTTCTGGAGACTTCTCTTGTTCTCTCATTTGGGGCTTATTTTTTGGTCTCCCCATTTTGGCTACATGTTAGGTTGATCTGCTAGGATTCTCAGTCTTTTTGGAGGGTCTCTGATACAGGCCAATGTCAGACACAGTTTTTGACTGGGCCTGAGTACCCTGTTTGGGGCTATCAACAACCCCAGGCTTAAGGTCTCCAATGCTGGGGCTGGATGCATTTGGAGAGGACTGAGATGCACACCAAAGTTTGCTTTTCTAAGTCCCAGGTCCCAAAACAGATCAGGCAAAAACTTAAAGCATCCTGAGGTCTGCCTCAGTCTGCAAACTTGTGAATTAATCCTCTTAATGAGCCTCAGGCTGTAGAAGCTCCACAGGGTGGGGCAGCTAGTTGTTATCAGTCTCTCAACAAGCCTCAGGCTGTAGAAACTCCTCAGGGCAGGGCAAGAGGCTCTCCAGCAGAGTGGAGCAATTGCTTCCCCCCTCAGGCAAAAGCTGAAAGTTCGCCTCCCAATAAAGATGTCCCCCACAGTCTGGGGGAATGACTCTCCCCAGACTCTCCCCACAGAGCTCCAGTCCACTCCACTCCCCCTCCACTGGAGCCCAAGGTGAGTGGCTGCCCAAGGTGCAATGGCTCTTCAAGAGGGTGCCTGCAGTTCCAGCTGCCTCCCCCTGACAGACAGAAACCCGGCTGCTTTTCATAGCCAGATGTTATGTGGGCACCTTTCTCAGTTCTGGTGCTCTTGGCTGGGAAGCCCAGCCTGGGGTTTATGCCCCAGAGTCCTGTGAGAACCCCCCACAGCTGAGATATCCCTCTGGACGTTCAGCTGCTGCCTGTGGGAGCCCAGCCAGCCCTCTCGTGTACGCACTTCCTACCAGTCTCCTTGCAGTCTCCACTTTTCCTCTTTGGTCATGAGGGTGCTCTCCAGCTCATCTTCGGTTGGTTTTCAGGATATTTTTTCTATGTTTTAGTTGTAAATCCAGATTAGTCCCAGGAGAGTGTCAGTGTAGCTTCCACTCAGTCCGCTGCCATCTTGGATCTCTCAATTAGTCTTTAACATGTTCTAATTTTGTCATGCACCATTTCAGTGTGTTTGTACACACACATGTATTTTTAGCTTCAAGTGCAGAAGGCTGAATTAATCATACTCCTCAGTTCATGACCCAATGATTGGTTCATGTCCCTTAACCCTCTTAGTTATTTATTCTTTCATATTCCTTTTTCCCTTGCCCCATTTCCTTTCCATTGGCAACATTCCTAACGTGTTTGATAAGTATCCTTTTGTTTTTACGTGTTCTTCTAAAACTTATACAAGCATTCTGTTTGTGTATATTTTAATTTATGTAAATGAAAGTGAGTTATAAACTTTATATACTCTGTTCTATGTTTTGAAGATGTTGCTATGCATACATCTAGTCCGGTCCTTCTAATCAGTTGCCCTGATTGCCTCCTACTCCTTGCCACTACAAACAACACTGTTGGGAACATTCTTATGAATCTGCAAAAGAATTTTTTAGCGTTTATACTCAGGAACATATTCTTAATTTGGCTATTGCTATGGTCTGAATTCAGCAAATTCACATGTTGAAATCCTAACCCAAAGGTGATGGTGTTAGTAGGTGGGTTATTTGGGAGATGCTTAAGTCATGAGCATAGAGCCCTCATGGATGGAATTAGAGCTCTTATAATAGAGGCTGCAGAGAGCTCGTTAGCCTTTTCCACAATATGAAGGCACAACAAAATGGCATAGGCTATGAACCAGGAAGGGAGCCATCACCACCACATGGCCATGCTGGTGCCCTGATCTCAGGCTTCCCAGCCTCCAGAACTATGAGAAATAAATTTATGTGATTTACAAACTCCCCAATTGTGGTACTTTATTATAGCAGCCCAAATGGACTAAGACACCCACCATTGCCAGGCTGCTCCCCAGAACAGCTCTCTCTCCAGCAGTGCATTTGAGTTTCTATATATCACATCCCTGGAAATTCTTATCATTAACCAGCTTCTAAGTCTTTCACCAGCCTAACCCTTATAAAGTAAGACCTTAGGCCAAAGTTTATAATAAAGCAACATAAGTTGAAAAAGACATGATTCCCCTTTAAATTTTATGACTGAAAAATAATATTCAAAATATTTTTAAAGAAAATAATAATAATATGCAACACAATCCTGCCACCCTAACATAGCAAATAGTTTCCTACTTGGATGGCTATCCTAGTTTTGTGCTCATGAATATGCAGTTTACATAGGTATAATCTCAAAATACAATTATCTGTCAAATTATATTTTATGCTTTTAATATTCACTTACCATATTTAAGATATAGGTTATTTCAAATTTTTAAGAATTATGCTAAATTGGTTACAGCTTGTTTCTCTTGCTGAATCATTTCCTCAAGATAAATGTGCATTATTGTTGGTAAAAGCAAAGCTCCACATTAAAGACGTTGCCATGGCAGTATGTGCAGTAAATTTTAAATTAACATAGCTATACTAAAAACTGTTTATCAGTCCCACAGAATACCATACAGTTATAATTATTTAGTCTGTGTCAGTACCTGGAGATGTATATACTAAAGTCATTAGAGTCAAAATTTCACAAGTAAATCTACATGGAAATATAAGGATATACAATGATAATGGATAAAAATACACTGTTCCAATGCCTAGGATTTTTCATATGAGTTTTTGGACACTAAAAATTTTAAATTAAAAAAAAAATCACCAGCATAGTAAGTTAAAAAGAAATAATTTTCATCAAAAGTTGAAGATATATACATATAAATATGTGATGGTTCTTGCTGTAAAACTAGGATTATTCAAGTAAGGGTGGTTAAAGATCTGCTCACCAGGACTCCCCCCACTTGGGTCATATGCATTTCTGGGTCCTATAGCAGGAGACTCTGGAAAGAGAGCATCTGTTTCCCAGCTTCCAGGTCGGAGGTAATTCACATTCCCATTCCTCTGAAAACTACTAAAACGCAGATAATATTTCACCTACAAGGAGCAATTGGAAACAAACAATATCTATAAACAAAAAGATAATTAAGCAGGAATGAGAAGCAAAAGAAAGTAAAGTACAGTTGGGAATATGTGATTGTAAGGCAGAATGATTAGCTGCACCCAAGTACATTCTGAACCCCCGGAAGTGAGAGCGACCTGGTCACAAGGCTGAGTCAAGGTAAATATTCCTATGTTCAGTTATCAAGACAAAAGTTTCAGGCACTTACTACATGTTGAAGGATTAAGACAGCCTTTGTTACTTAAGGAGCTCAAATTCTAGTAGAGGAAAAACATATCTTTCTGCTATAGTACATTCAGTGGTAGAGATATGTATAGAAAATTTATGGAAGTATGAAGGAGGAAAGGCGTGGGTGTGGTCAGAAGAGACACTGTACATCGAGTCACAGCAGCAACCTTAAGGGTAAGTGAGAGTAATAAGTCAAGGGTGGGGAGCCAGGGAGGGGAGATTATACAAGCACAAGAGGTGAAGTTTGAAACCCCACCAAAGCATTTTGACCAGGCTCTGTGTAAGCTGTTAAGTCCACATCAGCATCAGTTTGCATTGAGCCAGTCCCCTGAGGAAGGCTGACATCTATGAAAGGAGTTGAGGGAATGACAGGACAGAATGAAAAGATTCCCACAACCCTAGTTATAGCCAGTGGTTTTCCTTACTTTTTCATTCCATGGTCAATCGCCTGCATCTTAAATGCAGAATTATGGTTCCATGAACACTTGGATTATTTCTCTCAACACCAGGGACACTAAGTTTAAAGCACTGTCCTTGCCTCTCCTTC